CCCCCCCCCCCCCCCCCCCCCCCCCCCCCCCATTACAGACGTCAACAACCGCGCACAAAAGGCTTCAGATTCTATACAGTATTCTAATGCATTCATAATTATTTGAAAAAATAGTATGTTTTAGCTTACAAATAATGCAGTAGAATAACAAATTGAAAGGATATACGTGAGTTCCACATTTCAGCTCCAAAGGAGCTGCGCTGACAAGCTTTTTCTCTAGCTTTGCCTCAAAAGAGAACGAGAGACAACAAGACCAAGACGAATAATTTCATATAGAATAAATATTTTATTGAAGAAAAAGCGATTATTGATACATAAATATAAAGCGAGCGCGAGGATAGATAGATGCAGAACGAAGAAAAATGTTAGTAGAATATGTATTTGCAGAAAAAAGAAAAACTAAAGCATATATGAGAGAAAAAAAGCGAACTACCAGATACAATATAAAAAAAGCAAGATAGGTTGTAAAATAGAGAAAAGCTAGCTAACTAAGAATTCATAGATAAAGTTTTTGAGTCCTTTTTGTTGATAAAGCGGGGTCGTTCTAAAAGTACATGCGTAGCTTCTTGACCTTTGACATATTGTCCGAACTGTAATTATTGGCTATTTCACTTATTCCTTATAATGCTTCTAGTTGCGTTTTTGTTCGGTGAACATCACTATTAGAACATGAGTTATGTAAAGTGAGAAAGGAAACAGGTCAGAATAAAGGTGGCATTGGTCAATCATCAGATGATGAGCACATATTTACTAGCTTCCTGTGGTTCATTTACAGTGAGGGCCGAAAAAAGCATGGTCGTTTTTATTTTTTACACATATAAAAACTATATGAGTGATTCCATGGGAAGTGAAATAGAAAAACACAAAGTATTCAGAAAATTCTCTTTCATATCAGATTTTGTACAGTTTTTTTTTTCGCTAATCATTTTGGTAAAAAACCTCTTTCAATTTCACTGACTAATGACGATATTATAGTCAAAATACTAACACTGTAAAAGAGCTTAGAACGTAATTTTTTCTGATACATAAGTATGAGAAGTCGATTCGCATATCTCAAAATGACAATATTTTCGAGGAATACGACATCGTAGGTTTTGTAAAAGAAAGTTTTCTCTGTAAAAGCCACGATGTCATCTTCCTCGAAAATGCAGTCACTTTGAAATATGCGAATCGACTTCTAATGCTTATTCAGGGTGGCCCATAAGTAGCTTTGCGATAAAAAATTTGATTATCTCTACTATATATAAGCACTATAGCGCTGATTTTTTTTTCATGATAGAGGAGACTTCAGAGTTTTATTCTGTAAGAAAAACATTTATAAACATTACTTTGAAGTATTACTATTGGCTTCAATTATGAATTTCTATGTTTACGAGTCATGAAAAAGCACACATAGTGTGGTTAATAAATATCTTTCGAATAATAACCTTACATATTTTTAAGAAAAAGTCAAATAAAAAAACTCTATTCAAGATGTCAAACTGATGTACATATATTTAAGTTTAGAACACGTTAATTGAAATATTCGAACTGATGTCCATCAGCATCAATGCACCGTTGAAGTCTTTCGGGCACTGACTCACAAGCTTTCTTGCAGAGATAAGAATCTAAACTTCGAAATGCTGAGTTAATTAACTGCTTGAGGTCGATTAGGCTATGAGGTTTATTTTTGTACACGTTTTCTTTTACGTGTCCCCACAAGAAAAAATCCACCGGAGTTAGATCCGATGATCTTGCAGGCCAATTGATAGGACCTTGGCGACCAATCCACTTTCCTGGGAATTTTTGATCTAGCCACTCACGAACATCGCGCGCATAATGTGATGATGCTCCATCTTGCATAAGAAAGATGCAATGTCTGTCTGAAAAAAGACAAAAAAGTGGGTAGAAATAATCATTAAGCATTGACAGGTAACTTTCGCCAGTTACTGGTTCTTCGAAGAAAAAGGACCAATCACTCCCTGAGACCAGATCAGACTCCAGCCCGCATAGTGAGCCCTTCAGCTTATGTTGACTGCTTCCATTTGACGTTTGGCTTTTCTGTCGCCCAGTACACCGAATTATGGCAGTTAATCTCACCCTTAAGCTTGAATGTGGCTTCATTGAACCAGATAACATGATTAATTAGATCAAGTTCCTTATCAAGAAGCGAGAGAAAAGTCTCGCAGAACTCAATTCGCCTATCATAATCATCTTCATTGAGCTCGTGAACTAATCTGGGCACGTAGGCTTTGAACTGGATTCGTTTGTAAACACGCTGAATTGATGTTCTCGAAATATTTAATAGTTAACTCATGCGACGAGTTGATGTCTGAGGCTCTGTCTCCAGAATCGAGGATACTTCGTCTTCCATGCTTTGATCTGTCACTGATACTGGTCTGCCAGACGGAAGAAAGTTGGGTGTGGGTGTGGGTGTGGGGTGTGGGGTGTGAGATGTGGGTGTGCGGTGTGGGGGGTGCGGTGTGGGGTGTGCGGTGTGGGTGTGAGTGTGAGTAATGCCAATAGCTAAACCAACACCCCCCCCCCCCCCCCCCCACCCACACCCACAGGCACACACACATGCACACCCACAGGCACACACACATGCACACCCGCAAGCACACCCACCCACACCACACACCCACACCCACACCCTATCTCGATTAAGAAGTGCTGAATTAAATAGATATGCTTAGATATTAAGTAGCTATGTGTCTCGATTAAGTAGTGCTGGCAATTAAATAGCTGCTCTGTTTTATAAATGAGTATGAATTAAATAGCTATCAAGTGTGCTATATCAACACAAAGCGCGGTTAAGCATATTTATTCGCTCTCTTATTCCCTAGACTGAAAGGATAGGGTCTAGAAATGGGAATTGATCTGTCCGCGCGTATATCGTTTTTGTCGGTAACATGGCACAAATGACCATTTTTTTGGCACCAACGACCATTTCTTTGGTACAAATGACCATGTAACTATGGCACAAATGACCACGTAACTATGGCACAAGTGACCAT